TCTTTTCAATTCAAAACAATTGAATTTAATTTTAAAAAATTAAAATTTACCCTTAACACACTCAAGTTCCCGATAATAATTTTTTTTTAATTTCCATTTTAAAATGAGCAACTTTCACATATAGCAAACATAAAAATCATATTTGTATGTTATAGCTATAATTTGCATAATTGCGCTCCATAACAAACATAAATATGTATATTTCGCTATACATATACAAAGAAAACAGTTGTATAATTCGCTATACATATACAAAATAAACAGTTGTATAATTCACTATACATATATAAAAGAAAGCAGTGTATAATTTTTTTCGGTATACATATATAAAAGAAAGCAGTGTATAATCTGTTTCGGTATACATATACAAAAGATCAATTGTATAATTTGTGTTTGTATAAAGCGAGAAAGAGAGAAAGACAAAAGAAAACTGGGAAGGGGAAGATTGTATTTGTATAATCATAAGTGTATAAGACGAAAATATATGCATTTGTATTTATATATACAATTTTCTCTCGTTTTATACAAACACAAACGCAATGTATACATTTGTGTTTGTATAAAGTGAGAGAGGTGAGTGAGAGTGGCGAGCGAGATCTGGGAGAGGGGAACAAAAATATATGTATATATACAGTTTTTTTTCGCTTTATACAAACACAAACACATTTTATCCATTTGTGTTGGTATAAAAGCGAGAGAGGAGAGCGAGACTGCCACCAAAACGAGAGTGGCGAGCAAGATTCCACCAGGGAGAGAGGCGAAAATAGCAATAATTTGCTATAGGGTACAATTAAATCAAATTATATTTATAACATTTAATTTGAATTAATAATTTGTTATTATATACAATTTTCCCTTTTAAAATCTGTACACAATCAGGCCCAAAAATTAGCCCAATGTTGGAAATAAACAGAGCAAAAAGAAAAGTAAAAATCTGTGTTCCCCATAATAATTATTTCACAACAACTAAAAAAAGAAATCATAATTAAGAATATTATAGTCAAAACTCAAAACCCTCGTAAATTTTCAGGAATAAGTGATTTTAATCCATATGCGGATATGTGTAAGTCTTAAAACATCAAATAGTTTGGATTCAATGAACTTGACATCATCTTTATTATGTCACAAGGTTATGATCCAACATAGTTATTTTATTTCATATCTCACTCTCATATTTTCTGTGGAAAAATTAGGAAAAAGTAGTACTACCAATTTTAGATTAGAATAATATCCACAATACATTATGTAATTCAATCTGTCGACATTTCTTTAAATAAAAACCTAATATGTGTAAACGCACTTTTTATTATTCCATAGTACGTCTAACATATTGCTGATACAACACGCATTATTAAATACAATTATTGTTACTGAAATTACTAGGAAATCACTTGACCGACTTTTGCTATTCACTCCAATAAAATAGGAATCAATAATAATAATCGGTGACAGATTCAATATTTTCACTTTCAAAAAATAAATAAATAATATTTATAATTTGAATTTAAATTCAAAACCTCAAAATAAATTTTGAATCTCAGTCAGTCTTTTGCCTTGTGTTTTAAAATCTCTCTATATATTTTTTAAAAATTACCCTAATATATACCGTGTAATTGTTTATAACGATGACATCCTCCTTGGATCCACTGTAATGATGACTTTTTTTTTTAATGTTATATAACCGATAGGAAGCTTTCTTTCGTTTTCTACCATTTTTTCCTCCAATTTTTCCACAAAGACCAACTTGTTTAAACTGTGTCTCTATATAGACGCACAAAATTCGTCTCTACAACCATTCCATGATTTAATATTAATTCCATACAAATATTAACAGCTTCAAAGAAAACAGAGAAGTTAGCAAAATGGAGAACATATTTTCAATATCAGCAATTAGTCCTTCATTATTGGGCAAGAAAATAGCTGATGACCTCAATCAATTCTTTTGTATCATTTTAAGATGTACAATTCTCAGCATCCTAAGCACATTTCAAGATTTATCTTCTTGTTTTTCTTTTTCACTCCGAGCAATACTTTTGTTCTTCATCACTCTCCGAAACGCATTGACTCAAGATGATCATGATTGTGGACATGATAATTGCGATAACGAGGAATTAATGAAGGAAGAAGTTGTTGAGGTTGTAATTATGGATAAACTAATAAGTTTATGCAATTCAAATGAGAATAAAACAGAGTATGCAGAGGTTTCGAGTTTATTTGACGAAGTAGAACCTAGTTTTGAAGAAATTAAAGAAGCTTTTGATGTGTTTGATGAAAATGGAGATGGATATATTGATGCAAGTGAGTTAATGAAACTTATTTGGAGAATGGGTTTATCCGAATTTTCGATGAAGGATTGCAAGAAGATGATTATGGCCTTTGATGAAAACAGAGATGGAAAAATTGAATTTTCTGAATTTTTGAAGCTCATGGAACAGAGCTTTCGGGATCCTGCAGAGTTAGACTGAGTTTTATTTTTATACCGTACTGCTACTAAGTATTACTACTATCATAAATTATACTATTGTCATGTAAGCAATTTATCTACGATGAATAAAATTAACAAAACAGACATCCGGGGTCTTCCATTGGAATTCGACTTTTATTTCAATCTTGAACTTAGATCTCCGATTAAGATAGAAACAATATCATATTCACTGTATCATAACCTTTAATAATTATATATCCTTAATTAAACGTTTTGTATTCGAACACTTGAAAATAGAATTGCTATTAGTTGAAAATGTTTTAGCCAAAATGGACTTTTCGAAGCGCATTATAATAAGTCAAGTCCAAAGCGTATATAGACACTGAGTGAGAATCAATATATAAATAAATTAATAAGTGAAGACTCCGTCTACAAACTAATCACTTTTCCACCGCCTAAAGATAACATTAGTATACAGACAAAATTTGTTACTTGAGGATCTGAAGTTGCTACAGTACTGAAAAAGACTGAATTTGATATTTGATTGGAAAATTCTAAAAAACTGTCTGCAGAAGCAAACTTGAACCTCTAAGCTCTGTTTGTCTTAAGATTCTTTTGGCAACAAAAATAAGTAAACTGTGTTCTGACGATGTTAGACAAATGAATTTTTTTAAGTGTTGTTTGGTATGAAGAAAAATATTTTCTTAAAAATAAATAAATTTATTATTTATTTTTTAGTATTTGATAATTAAGTAAAATAATATTATCCTAAATTTCATATATAAGTTAGCAAAATATTGTGGGGTGATGACTGATGAGTGGGGCTTCGGAGGTGGCGAGGGGTGGGATGATTAAGGGGTAAACATTTGGGCATTGATAAATATCACTTGTTCTTCACTTTTAAAGAAACTTATTTTACTACAAATAATATTTTTTTCTAAAATATTTTTAACAACCAAATATGAAAAAATTGAAAAAATATTTTTCAACATAGCAAACACACAATTTACTTCTACTTCTTAAGACCTTAGCACAAAATATTAAGGTAACGATGCATTCACACCAAATCGGCTATTACACAAAATGAAACTTTTCATCTTTAACAAACGATAGATTTGAACGATACAATACAATAAAATTTAAGCAACAATCATAACCAATACTTCCTCTATCCAATTTATGTGACATATCTCGTTTTTTGAGAATCAAACAATTTAAGTTTGACCGAAAATTTGCTCATGAAATATTTAATTTTTTTGAAATGAAATTTATATATTTGTTAACTATACAAAAAGTGTTATAAGTGACAATAATTGACAATTTAAAATATTTAAAAGATCTATGAAAAATTTTAAGGTAAAAACTAGATTTGTTTGACTCTCAAATTCGAAATATGCCACTGAAATTGAGACAGAAAGAGTATCATATTTAAACTAACAATATAATACTATGAGGGCTCGTTTGGTGTGAGGGATTAGAAATAATAGTGATGGGATAAAAAAAAAATTATGTTGTTTGGTTGGCAAGTCCGGGATAACTTATCCCGGGATTAATAATTAGTACCGGGATAAGTTATCCCTCCCCATGGGTGGTATAGTAATCCCGGGATAACTTATCCCGAGATAGAATGGGTAAATGACAAATATGTCCCTTTAAATCCTTTTTATATATCATTTTTTACATTTATGTATATTTACATTTTTTTTAATACCATGTATAATAATATTTACTACTCCTTATTTTTATGATAATTATAAATATTTTTCTATTAAAAAATTATACTATATAAATATAATTTTTATTTATGAATTTATTTGACTAATTCTTATGTTTATTTTATTTTGATTTCTCATAAATTTTCTTCTCTTTAATAAACTTAAGAGGAAAGTTCTATTTTTAAGCTAAATAAGAAAAAAGTTATAATTTTAAATACACATGGTACTTATCATGGGAATACATAAACAAATATATTTAAGTTAAAATAAAATAAAAGTTTTATTTTAAAAAATGAATAACTAAAGCTCACAAAGAAAAATTTAAAAAGTTTAAATAAAGTGAAGGGTAATTTTGTAAACAAACAACTTGTTCTTAAAATTTATCAATATATATTATTTTGAATATAACAAACCAAACACTCAATAAGAAATAATCTCAGGACAATTTATCCCATCATAACTAATCCCAACATAACTTATCCCATCATAACTCATATTCAAACCAAACGACCCCTGAGGATCAAGATAACAACCATCCAAACAAGGTGTAAGTTAACTGGGACTTTGTCAAAGTGTGGAAGTTCCTTCTCATCCCTTAAATCTTTTACAATCACAATTTCTTGGTCCCTGGTAGATACAAGTCACTATCATTACGAAATGGCCAAAATGGCAGACGTCAACTGCATAGCAAATTGCTTGGGTCACATCAAATTATATATATTTCTAAGTATTTTCTGAGTAACTTCCTAATTAATACAACTGAATTTGTCTTTTAATTCATTCGCATTGTTATCCAATTCAATAATAGGACACTATAAAACCCCTTTGCATACATCAAAATCAAATCAAGTAGTATCACAAATCTGCAAAGTTCTACAAGAAATCTTCAAACTAACTAACCACTGATCAATTCAATGGCAGACATAATATCAAATGTGTTTAATGAAAACGATGAGTTTCGCGCTCTCATACTATCAGACAAGGAGTGCGCGGAGGAACTGCAATACCAAGAGGTTCTTGCAGCCTCTTTAGAAATCTTCCATCTTCACATGTCATCAACACAAATTGAAGAATCCCCTGAATCATCCCAAGGTTTTTGTGACATTTGTATGGAGACAAAAGTTACAAATGAAATGTTCAAACTCGAAAATTGCTCTGATCACTCATTCTGTACTGATTGCATAGCCCAATATATCCAGTCCATGATTCAAGACCATATTTTCTCAGTAACTTGCCCTGGTTTGAAATGTTGCGCGACAATTGAACCTGTTTCTTGTAAATCCATCATCCCAGAAAATGTATTCGAAAAATGGGAAGGGGGATTGAGTGAGTCTGCTCTTCTTGATTGCGAGAAATTCTATTGTCCTTACAAAGATTGTTCAGAGCTTCTGATTTATGATCATGATCAGGACATAATTGAGTGTGTATGTCCTGTATGCGACAGGCAGCTCTGCGCGGCCTGTGGCGTCCCTTGGCATACTGGACTTGATTGTGACAAGTTCCAAAATGATGAAAAAAACAGAGAAGATGATTTAAAGGTTGAGGAACTTGCTAGCAGCTCCAAATGGATGAAATGCCCTCACTGCAAACATATTGTGCAGAAGGCTGATGGTTGTATACACATAACCTGCTGGTTAGTTAATTTTTATATGGTAGTGTGGCCTGTTAATTTCTTTATAAGTTAACTTAACAAATCGATGTGTTAATCAATATTATGGATTTAGGTGTGGATCTCAATTTTGCTATATATGTGGAGAAAAATGGAGCGAAAGCCATTGGAGTTGTCAAATTAGTGAATGATACCGGATTGCTTCTAAAGAACTGGGAAGATTGAAAAAGGGGTAAATTATGCTAAGTGGCCATTCGCCCCTTTGCGACCAAAATTAGCAAAAAAATGTTGTTCCGTCCTTCTTCAACTTTCGACTTTGCCATTAATGTCTTCTTCACCTTACGATTCTACCATTAATGGTTTCTTTTCCTTCTTCTTCTTCCATTCTCCTCCATCTTCTTCGTCTATTCATCCTCTTTTTTATTCTTTAAATTTGACAAAACTTGAATAGTTTCAAGTGAATTATATATCAAACGATTCGAAATATTGAGAAGATTTCATATTTTAGACGTGATTTTGAATTGATTGAGATTGAATACTTAGTATATATTTCATGTATAATTAAATCGTATTCAGTTTTTTGAATGTATTATAATGTTTACTCATTGTAAAGATAAGTTAGTATTGTATACTTTTTATGACTTTCTGCAAGTTAAATTGTATAGTCAGTGTACACTTCCTATAATTTTTTATTATTTTTATTTAATGTAAATAAAGCATGACAATATTTATAGTAATCTAATTACTTTATTGTATATATTTGAAACTAAATCCTTTGAAAAAAATCATGGTTATGCTTAATGATAGAGCACTCCGAAACACCTACGGGCTCTTCTTGATTGTGAGGTCAGGGCCAACTCGACCGTAGGAAGATGGGTTCAAGATGCCCGCTAAACACCAATTTAGATGTTGGATGTTTGTCACTTGTCTACTAGACTTTTTATGTTTGTTTGTTTGGTATTACGATGTAAATAGTTAATATAGAAAGTGTTTGAATTAACTTATTTTAAATATTTGTCTCCAATTCAAGCCTCTTGTAAGTACAAATTATGGAAGTTTAAGGTACATAAAAAAACAAATAGGAAAAGAAAAACAGTTTGTTGATTTAATCAGTCACATTTTTTAACAACCTTAATATAGTTGGAATGACATTAATTATGTCCACTCCAATTTTTTCTTATACTACAAGGTTAACGGAGGGGAAATGATATCCGAAAAGAATCAAGTTTTATGTAATCAAACTTGTGGTTCATTGTCTTTATTTCTTTATATCCGTCTCAAAAACACATGCAAAATAATTGTATTAGTTTCAAATTTCAAATATTTTACCTTAGATGAACATTGTATAAAATCAATTACTCCTATCTTTTACCAGCGCATTAAACACTTTTAAATAGTTACAACTTGATCGGATAGTTGTTACCTATTGTATTGTTATTTTAAATACTATAAATATTTTGAGTGTTACTTAAATCTTATTATATTATATTATATTACTAAGCTATCGAAATGTAATGACAAAAAAAATTACTCTTTTTTCCCTCCTATTTTGCATTTGCTTATTTTTTTAATAATTTTATTTTATAATTTATCTTATCCTACTTTTTTCTATAATTTTACCCTAGGTCATATTTTTCACCAATAGAATATTTTGATATGATAGCATATGTAAGAAACATGAAACAAGTTGTTATTGGGTCGAGCTCATCGCACCGGGTTTGCCTAGTGCGGATTATCTTTTCTATGTGATTTGCAAGATATTGCATAAGAGCGAAAATTTTAACCTGTGCGCACTCAAAAGATAGCGGCTGTGAATTTTTCTTATAAAAATTGTTACTGTTTGGAAACATACACACACTTGTCACTTGTTCCTTGTGCATAGTTTATACTACATTCTTCTTTTGACAGATCAATTGCAACACTATTTATATTTTGGATAAAACTCGATAAACGACGGTGTAAGGATAAGTAATCCCAAGTTCCAAAGTGCGCCGAAATCTTTTTTGATAGGTTCAGCCGTTAATCTCATTATCTTATTTTAATAATTAATACTATATTGTATCTATTTTTTTAATTTAAATATATAAGATCACATTATGTTTTTAAATTCCATATTAAGTCTATAAATGGAAAGACATTTTTCATGCAATCTCTCTCAGGCGGTCACGTACGCCGACTACTGCATTTCTTATTGACGCGAGTTGTTTCGTTTTTCTTTAATAAGTAGCAAATGTAATACAAATTGTTCTGCTATTTAGAGATTGAGAGTAAGAATGGGAAGGGTGAAGCGAGTGGAGAGCAATAGTAAGAGGCAATCCACTTATTGCAAACGAAGATGTGGAATCCGGAAGAAAGCCCAGGAGATTTCTGTGCTATGTGATATAGATATTATCCTTCTTTTGTTTTCCCCAACTGGAAAACCAACGCTACTTCAAGGTGGAACAAGTTTCTTTATTTAAATCACTCTGCTGTGCTAAGCGCTTCTTTTATCTTTACTTTCCTGTCTTGACACAACTTTTGGAGGATTGGCTTATATAGTGTAGATGCCATCATGAACTTGAATTTTGGGTCATGACAATCCACAGGTATTGGATGTGTCAATTGGTCTTGGCAGACTTGAGATAACTTTTGGCGTTAGAGTTTAGGTAATTCAAGGTCTCTTTCTTTATCATGCTGCCTATCAGAGTTAGGTGAGGTCAAGTAATTGATTCCCTTGTATGGTCTTGCCAAAGTTCATTACAGCACAGAGTACAGCGTTTGGTGGTTTAAATTACTACTTTTGCATTTCATTTTCGTTGAGATCTCACCATTGTGATTCTACTTCCTTGGAATATACTTTTGTGCATGTGATGATGTATATATGAGGTTGGGATTGTTTCATAGTATCATTCATCTGTTCATAGGGGATAGGTTACTTTATTGGAGACTTACTCTTTGGCAAGTTCCCCAAACTTCTAACATCGCGAATGGCCATGTTAAGGTCAAAGTGAGTGATATTCTCATTTTAAAGTACCTGGCATGAAGAGCCTTTACTCCTCTAGAAGATGCTCTTGTAAATACATATAACCGAGTATATCTATTTTCTACTGCTAGTGTTTTTTTTTTTTTTCACAGTTAGTCTTGTGTGGTGATTTAGTCCTTTGTCTTTTTATTCGTCCGACAATAACTATCACATATGATGAACTATAGGATTATTCGATCCCTAATTTCTATTGCATGTCTTCAGCAATTTTGATGAAATAATTGCAAAATTTGCTCAATTGACTCCTCAAGAAAGGGCAAAAAGGTACAAAAACAGTCTTGTCTATTTGGATTAGTCTTATCTAGGAGTAAGATATAGAGGCCAAATGATCAGTTTTTGCTAATCTTGAACTTAAAACAGGAAGTTGGAGAGCCTTCAAGTAAGTCTGATATTCATCACCACTATGTGTTTTCCTCTTTCTATGGTTTGTCGTTACTTCTTAATCCACTTGAAAGTGCTAACAATGCTAATGGTTACACTCCAGACATTGAGGAAGACTTTTAAGAAGCTTGACAACGATATAGGCGTGCCAGAGTTTCTAGATGCTAGGTATATATTTTTGTTGATCAATTTGAGGATCTTTTCCTTCAAATTTGTACCTATCGAAATTTGTTAAGCATTATGTTAACCGTTTACCTTGTCTTTGCTCCTTTGTTTCTTTTGCTGCAGTGATCCATCAGTTGAAGTATGCACTTTCTTACTCTATCCACACCATTTTGGCTACGATTGTATGACTTAAACTCAAGTTTGTGGACAATTTTTATTTTTTTTATAATTGGCGCTGACAGGAATTGCAAAGCCAAGTGAAAGTTGTGCAATCTCAGCTTACTGATTTAGAAATGAGACTCAAGTATAGTCCTGCATTCCTTTGTTTTTCCTTTTATATTTTTGGTGTTCAATTGTTTCCATAATTGACCTCTTTATCAACTGCTACAATATTTCGATTGCGTATTTTTATCTTATTTAGGTCTCTGGCAGAGTGTGTTGCCATTTGTCCTCTTTTATAAGTTGCATTTGCTTTTTGAATGTATCTAAAGAACTTTTGAGGAATTTCTAATTAATTTTCTCATTTGGACATTTTTATTGGATATCCATACACAATTAATAGCATCTTGCTTGATTATAGGCCCAATTAATAATATTTTGTGTGATTATAGACACACCAGTTGATTTAATCTTAATCCACATATGTTGTTTCCGTGTTTGATTTAATATGCAGTTGTAACTAGATCATATGGGATTAATGACTTGTGTCATTTTTAATCTTGTATTAACCTTAATCCTCTGCTTCGTCGTAGCTGGTGGAGCAATCATGATAAGATAAATAAAGTGCAAGATCTCGCGCTGATGGAGTGTGCACTAAGGGAGTCACTTAATGCAGTTCATGTTCGGAAGGTAATATTTCCAAAAACTGGATTGGTTTTGGTGGTACTTGGTGATCCTAGTGCTGCAACAAGTTTTAGAAAACAGCCATACTATTGATGAACTAATATACTTTTAACTCAGTATGGAATTTGGTCAGAACTGAGTTGATTGCTTACCTATCCTTTGTCAAATCCTCTAACTACTCACTCTCCTTTGTAAGAATGTTAATTAGGTCATGGTTATTCAAGGTTAAACTACATAGTAACTTCTGCCCTTCCTCCCTTCTGTTTCTCTTTTAGTCTCTTATATTGGTTGTTTCAGAAAAACAGTGTAAAATGTGAAAATAGCTGAATGCTTCTGCATTTGAATGTCATATAACAGCTCCAGAACACGACACATTTGCATCTTTTGATGAACAGTGAAGTAGATGAGCAAACTCATCCATGGCATCCAGAAAATAAAATCCTGCACATGCCATTCCCTCAGACACCAAACATTCTACCCCAGGAGTGAGTATTAGACCATATTTATTCAGCATCTTTATGTCGTTCCCCTTTTACGATCTTAGTATTTCACGCTTGAAGTTACTGGATTTTGGTAATCGCTAACATCGTGTGAACCATTGTTTCTCTGTAGAAATATGGGATACTCCGGAGATAATTCAGTTGCTGAATCTTCTCATGTTCTGGACTCTGGAAAAGTTGATCAAGCAAGACAGGCCACAACTGCAATGCTAGATAACAGTGTCTTGAATGATCTAAATAGTATAGCATGCTTGAGACAGCAACTAAGTGAGCAGTATTCATACAACCCCAATTATAATCTTGATCTACTGGAAAGGAAAATATTGGATCCTCAAAGTGATGCCAATTTGAAAGGATATTTGATGGATTATGAATTTCAAAGAAACTTTAACCTAACAAGGTCTGTGGATTCAGTCAATTATAGTGCAGCTGATGCCGTTGTTGTTCCAGATTTCGATGAAAAATCATATGCACAGGTAATTTCACCTGTTTCCATTCTCGGTTAATTTCTCAACTCTGTGGCAGTTAATTATTGAAAAAAATGTTTAATTGCCCATCTTACATATGGAATTCATCTTCTCCATTCATGTATCCTTGTTCTCTTTGACAGTTGAATATGCTGAATGCACATCTTATATTGCTCCATTAAACAAATTACCACAATCTCCAAATATACCGTCATGTAACTAATCCTATCTGATCTAACATTTCTTACTCGGTCTCACTTGTTCTTATTTCCTGCAGCCAGCAACTTCCAGTGATTAAACATTTGAGATAAGTCACACTGCTTGTGTAGAATAATCTGTGATCGCGGGTGAGATTTACAGGTGCAGTGGTTGTTGATAGATAATTATGTTTGAATATGTATAGTTGTTTTGCTTAGCGAACCCTGACACCACACATGGTGAAAGTAGAATAAGAGTTTGTTCATAAATGAGATCTGAATAAAAGACCAATTTCACTTTGCTTCAATAAATTACTGGGATTTGTTTTGCAGTTAAGATGCAAATCGAACTACTAAAAGAAAGTTTTCCCCTTTATATGCTAATATAACAAGAGCGCAAATCACAGTCTTTTGATGATCTAGTAGGAACAACACGAATAAGAAACGCTGTACATTAAAGGTTCCTTGTTTACCACAAAGCTCTATTCTTGATCAAAATTCATAACATGGTTACAAGGTAACAATATATATTCAATCAAGTTTCCCATGAGGTTTTCTAGTTGCTGAGTGTTTGGATGATGGTGTTGTGCCATGGGTCAGAGATGTGCTGCAGAAGGTTGTCAAAAGGTCCCTTTCCAGTCACATTGTGCTGCACTATGAATCCCAAAAATGCCAACATAGCCAATCTCCCTGCAAATTATCCACTTGAAAAATTAGCCTGACTCAAGTATATAAAGTCATTTAAAAAGTGAACATCCACTTACCATTAGCAAGTTCCTTCTCCTTGGCCTCTTCAGTTGGTGCAAAGTTGAGTGGGTTGAAAATACCACCAGGGTATCCACATGTATGAGGAGGCAAGCTGTAGCTCTTGAAGATAGGGTCTTGGTTGACACTTCCTGGGTTCTTAATGTCTTGCCACCTTCTGATCTCGACGTAGTGGAACAAGATGAACTCGATCACAAACAGGGTCGATGATGATGCAAAGTACTCGGATTTTCCAGCATCGTACCATTTGGGCACGTTAAGTATCCCAATGCTAGTGAAAACCTCAGGCAACAGCATCCCTGCAACACCCAACATAGCCCAACGACCATTCACCAGTTCAGCCTGGATGAACCATTTCAAGTTCTCTGGGTCCTCAGCAAGTCCCAATGGATCAAAACCATTGTCTCCTGGAAGACTAAAGACAAGTAACCATTCCAGTATTAGAACAAGGTTAGTGTTTAGACATAGTACAATTTTACATGATATCATAGCAGGCAAAAGTATATATTACAAGTAGCTTAAGATGTATGTATGTATGTATGTACCTGCCATCAAGATAATCAGGAGAGGCTAAGCCAGGAAGCCATTGACCTTTCTTAGCTTCAACCTTGAATGAGTTGTATGATGAAGAAGTTGAAGGTCTAAAAGAGACCTCCCTGTTTAACTTTCCAGATGATCCAGTGAGGAACCTGGTTCTTGAGGCACATGGCCGGAAAATGGCGGCGGAAGCTTGTGTTGTCACGGTTGCCATTTTTTCCAATTTGAAGAGTTGTTGGTGATTATTGGGAGAAATGGCAATCTAGTTTTAAGGCTGAGTTGAAAACTTTGTGTGTTTTGTATATGCATTTGTATTGCCATTTCTTTGGCATAATTGTGGCTCTGGTTCAATCTTGAAGAGTGACTAAGATTTTTTGGAATTCAACGGTTGGATTGAGTTGTGAATTTGATAGTAACCAATGAGAAAAAATATGCCTTATCTCCTTATCTTTGGTTCCATATCTTCAAATCAGTTTCTTTATTTCTGTTGGTTTGAGAAGATGATGAGGGACCCAAAAATTGCCACGTAGATATATATTGGATTTTTAGAGGAGGAAATTAAAATGGAAATTGGGGAATCTGCTAATGGAAAGATCTTTGCCAAGTGAAATCATTGATATCCAATGAGGATTTGACAATTGGTTGACTCAAAATTCGTCCTGGCAAAAGATATCTATAATGACTTGATTGTGAAAAATTGGGTGGGATGCGTTGGGAGTATATTTTAATGTGTTAAAAAGATTTTAATCATGATTTAATACTTTCATACTAGTCTTCAAAGAAAGTTGGGAGTATATTTTAATGTAAAAATAATATTTGAATAAAAATATTTCAGCTAAAATACGGAATAACTCTGTCCCGTGGTGTTAGAGTTTGGAATTTTGATAAGTGAGAGTTTTAAAAGTTTATGGTGTTTCAAAAATCGGCATTCTTTTTATGGAATTTGATAAAAATAATAATATCATATCACATGTAGCTCTGTACACTAGCACATGAAGTTTTACATATAGGGAGGGGGGGTTCGAGCACCAACATATTGCGATGAAGTTTCACTTGTAAAAGTTTCATAATCCAGCACCTTATACTAGAGTTTTTCCATATTTTTAGATTAAGATTTATTTATTTATTTTAGATTATGATATTGCTGTCCAAATATACTCTCTTTTTTTTCTCCATTAAAAGTGGTTAATGTTAAATAGTTTTGATAGTGTGGCAAAAACTTGACAAAAGTGCCTATTTGGGCCACTTCAGTTCAGGCCTAGTCCAATTATTAGCTCCTTCGCTATCGTTAATGGGCTAGAAAGTGTTCTACTCCGTCTTGGACCTTGCAGAAGCCCGTTTAATAAGTGCATTTTGTCCTTTATATGAAGTTTTTGCACATGGTACCATTATTTCTAGGTAATGTTTAGTTTTTATCCTTTTTTTTTTCTTTAATCAAAGCACTTTATTTATAACCTAATTCCTTTGAACATAAGTTGAGAAAAAATTTGCCTTACTCTGAATAAGTTGTGTAGAAATTGAATTATGTAGTATAATTTGTGTAATATTTCTATGGCTTTATTTCGTTAAACATAAATTTAGAGAACTTTTGTTTTGCTTGATATAAATTCACTAGGAATTAAGTTGTATCTTTTACGATATAACTTATGAATTTTCTGAACTGAAATTTTACTTCTATAGACATATGTTTTGTAACCATAACTTATGTTAATTATAATTCAAACATATTGGTTTATGTCAAACAAAAATTATTTGCTATTTCAATATCAAAATATTTTCGACTACTTATATTTTACTTAAAATATTGAGGATAAAAATTAAAAATCACCCTTAAAAAATGGGCAATTATGTGAATCATGTAAAGTTGACACGTAAAGTTTTATATGATAAAGGAAAGGACGGTGAAAGATATTGAAATAAAAAGAACTAAGGTGTTGAGAAAATATTAGAAAGTTATTTGTTCCCTGTTTAAATTTGAAAGGAGTAGTTCTTTTCACCACTGGCTCATGCTGACATTTTGTTTTTAAAAAATCTTTCGGGTCGTTTGGTAGAGTGTATTAATAAAATAATGTATGCATTAGTTTTATTTATTATTAGTATTTTGTTTGGTACTTTTTTTCAATCTATGTATAACTAATGCAAGCATTATTTTTATACACTATATTGTGTATTAAGGTGTGTATTGTTAATACCATGAATTTCTAGGTATTAGTAATGCAATGGTATTAATGTATGCATTAACTCAATTAAAGACCCAATTGCCCTCAATACTCTTTTTATATCTTTTTCACTATAGTGGTGAAGGGTATCTTTATAAATAATTTTTTTAATGCAATGCATTTTATTTTTAATGCATCAAACCAAACAACGGTTCTCTCTTTATTTATACACTCTATCACTATTTAGTACTCTCTCTGTCTCTAATTACTTGTCCACTTTTGAATTGACACACTTATTAAGAAAATAATTAATGATATAATGAGTTTACCATTTTATCACTATTAATTATGAAGTAGATGAAAAGTTCTACATTTTTCAAAATAATTAGTCATTTAACTGAGGGTATAATAAGCAAAAAAAAATTGTCTTTTTTTTATTTGTCAAAATAGACAAGTAATTAGAGATAATTATAAAAAAAAAAAAGTGAACAAGTAATTAGGGACCGAGGGAGTAGAGAAGAAAGAGACAACATCAAGGATTTTACAAATCTGATATCACCACACAAATCAAGAACAAGAAAAGGACACACTTCTTGGTTCTCTCTCTCTCTGCGGATTCCCAATGTGGAATAAGATAACAAATGCCCGAGTTTAAATTTAGGGCACATTTTATTTTTGGGTAATGTTAAGTAGCCAGAAAATTTGATTAGAAATTTAAAAAATTTATAATATCTTTTTTATTTTAAAATAATTTGATTTTTTTTTCAATTTTTTATGAATCCCATACACCCCCCCCCCTCGGGGGCTGTCTGAGATAGATCTAGATGGATGCTTCGTTGTAGATGATTTGTACGCGCGCCTTAAAAATACTCGAGACGAAGTACTTATCGTCCCCAAACCAAAAGGGATGAGGGAAAAAGGCTTGAGAAAGCCCTATCTGACTCCTAAGAAGTTGTTGGCTTTTCATCAGTCGTTGCGCGCTAGCCTTTTCCCAACGAAAATGAAAGAGGAGGTTGAGGGAAGCCACTAAATTGAGAGCTTCGCTCGCTCTAACGCTCTCTACGACAATAACTAAAGCAAAAGCAAATTCAACCTCATCGATCCAAGCCCGGTGAAAAAAAAAGCATAAGAAGAGTCCGATAATGGCCGATTTTTAAAGGCCCTTAAGAAAGCATGAAGATAATCAATTCGGTCGTTGTGGTCGGACTCTATTATGGATTTCTGACCACATTCTCCATAGGGATCTTCTCGCTCGGAATCAAGTGTGAACGAAGCCCAACAAAATGCCCCTGCAGCAGTGGTTGGAGTTGGGGCCTCGCTTAAGAATATACGATTCCTCCGGAGTGAAGTTGTTGGGGGGAAGAAAAGATGAGGAAGCTAGTTTAATTGAGGAAGCCACTTTCTTTAATGGTCTCCATCTACTTCCACCTCGACTCCCAGAAACCAATCCATTGAGAGTTCTCCCAACGAGCAGAAAGATAAATTGGAGTTTCTATCTGAAAATCAGCTAATTAAAAAATATTTAAAATGGTAAAATGTTCAAAAAGATAAAATAACATAATGTGAAATATGTGATTTTATCCTGGTCAAATTCTGACCAAATTTTCTGACCAAAAGGATTTTTCCTTTCTTTTTTATATGCGGTTATGATATAAAATTATGTGAAATAAAGTTGATTTTTTTTTTTTGACATATATTAACTTAAAAGAATTAGGGTTGGAATATAAAATGAGCTACGTCTGCCGCTGGAATATAAAATGAAAGGACCACAATAAACTGTTTTCCAAGTGATAATTTAAATTTCATACAAAACCACAATAAAGAACATCAAACGAAAATTACCTCTAAACTAATATCCCCTTTAGGCTATAATAATGAACTAGTGTGGTGGGTGGTGACAATAAAATCCACCACCTCTGCCCCCAGTTTCTGTCCTCTTCCTAAAAATAACCAAAGGACAGAACTTCCTATCTTAAATTACTTTCATAAAAATCCAAAATAAAAATGGTTTGGAGCCACTTTAAAAAATAAGCTCTTCCCATCAACACTAATAAATAGTAGTAGTCTTAATTTATGACACTTTGCAATAAATAGAATTAAGTGAACTGTGCGCCGGTGTAAGTTTTCCCAAAAGACCATCCAGCAGGGATAGCATTGTTGCAGAAAACAGTGCGGCCATCACCTGTAGTTACTTTAAATGATATAATTTGACCATCAAGTAAAGCATTGCTCTGCCAATTTTGACCCCAATTGCGTGACATTGCTATCCACTCTGTTCTGGAACCTTTAATCGAAACTGCATTTACATCTCCTGAACCTCCCACGTTGGTTACCAGCACTAGATTGAAGTATGAGTGACCGTTCATTGTGAATCTGATTCCTCCCTTTTTCTGGCAAGGTACTCTGCATTAATGGCAACAAAATTTGAAACTTGGGAAGTGCACATATATAACCGATTAACCGAACACCGATATAAATATTACTAGTAGGGGGAGGGGGGCCCAATCTTTGTCACGAGATGTAACCGGCAGGATGCTTGTGCCAAACTAAAGGAACAATTCACAAGGCATGACAGTATTGAAAATTGAGCGGTATAACAGAAGAGAGTTTTGATTATTAAAAGTTATTAAATTCACGTAAATTCTCAGCGGTCCGTTCCTTCACAAGATGGGTTATCTTGTTTTTTGCTTTGGGAATATATAGTATATTAACTCTATCTATATAATTAGAACTTTTAAAAAATCACTTTTGACATTTTTCTGACTTTGACCTTGTTAACTGACTTAACTAACCGCAATAGTTTAGCTCCAGATTCGCCATAAATTTTGAAATTGAATTTTTTAAGTTGTGATTTTTAAAACATGAAATTGTGCTTAAACATAAATTTTACTTGGAAAAATATTTGAAGTACGTGACTGAAAGTTAGTTTTATTGAGCCAGTTTTTGAAAAATTGAAAATAATGTTGTGATAAAATTTTATGCCAAATAGATTCAAATTCTATAGCCACATGCTAGCTTGGTGGAAAGCCAGAGAACATAAATTGAGATTTTCAACAAAATAAAAGAATGAAGTATTCTAGATTCAAGTTAGGCTCTTACCTTCTGTAAGCAACAGGAACAATCCCAGCTCTGTACTGAGCCATTTTTTGAAAAACAGGCTGAGCGAGGTCAAAGTGGTGCAGGGGAGGATTGCACCACCCACCAGCATTATTCGGAAGGGCAAAATTTGGTGGGCAAAAATTAGTAGCAGTTACCACTATAGATCCTGGAAGGCACCACTTCGAATCACCCACACACTTAAGCTCAAAGCAAGATCCACAACTCAACCCATTGTTGAACAGTGCTGTACTCAATGCTGCTGTGTTTGTACCATACCCTTCACTGTACAAATTCCCATAACCACATGCTCCACCTGAATTATAACAATTCTTTAGGTAGAAAATGGAAAAGGCACACGAGCGCCTGGCACAGGTTCAGCCTAACTCAATAACTTTAATTCAAGTAATTTGAAGTTCATAAACTAAAAATTCTAGCTCGAAAGTAATTAGCATACCCATGGTTCCGGAAGCATCACCACCTCCATAGAAAGTTGCATGAGCTTCAATCCATCCTTGTTCATTTCCGTGGACACAATTAATAAATTGTATACAAAAGACACAAATTACGGAGAACCACAAAATTGGCATTTTAAAAAAAAAATTGAGAGATGTTTGGCACCTTTTTGGACAACTATATGAAGCACTTATAACCTTAATGTGTGTGTGTTTTTAAGGGGAAAAGTAAGAGTATTTTGTTGGGGGAAGAATGAGTTTAAGTTGCAATGGAAAAGAAAGGGACTGAGGTGGGAATAAATAGATGTTACGGGAGAACAAAACAATATTTTAATTTATTTTTACTTTTGGTTGCTTTTAGGAAAAAAAAGGGTATTTTTCTGTTTCTTTTATTTTTCTTAGGTTAAAAGAAAATGGTTTCTCTCTGTCACATTTTATTTTTACTTTAAGAGAGATTTGTTATATTTTTTTCAACTTTTAGTAGTAGTAAATAATTATATAAAGCAATATCAATCAAATTTAGATTTTTAAAGTATTATAATAAATTTAATTTTGCAAAATACTTTTTTCAAGTGTTGTGCCAAATTAATAAAGGTAATATATTATAAAAGTAATTGTGGATGTCCACAAAATAAATTTTTGATTTCTCCTCACTATAATTACATTAACTCTCATCTTCATGACTTCCCCTTTATCTTCACTCATAAGTCATAGCTTTCATATGGTTAATGTCATGTTTATAATTAATTTTTGTCTCTCTATAACATTATAAATAAAAGCATAATAATTATATTATAGACACTTCAACATACCTGAATAAAAATGAAAACTTTCCATATTTCTATGTTTCTATCGCTTTTATTATTTAATATTTGTTTTTTATTTGCTTTGGTTTTAGAGAGAGTACTAGTAATTTATTGTTCCAAAAATAATATAATATATCACAAAGACGAAACAAGTTGAGAGGGGACCACTAATCATGATTGTGATAGAGGGGTAAATATTTATTCATCCTTGATCAAAGATCTTGAATTTGAGTTTTATGAGTACAAAGTTATTTTTGTTAGAGAGTGTTTTATCTTCTCATGTGGAATATTTTTATACAAATACAAATTTAATTGAAATCTAATATAAATATCAACAAAAATAATATAAAGTTGAGAGGGGACCCGATGAGCAGTACTTTCCCGTTTTCCGTCCTGCCCTGTCTACCTACTAACCTCCGCTTTAGGCAACGCAACTTGTGAGAGGTGTTAACTTACCTTTTTAAAAAAAATTTAATTAACAACTTCTAAAATAGTACTCGCTTAAAAAAAAATGATCTAGTTTGATTTGGATGAAATTTAAGAAAAGAAAAAAGACTTTTTAATCTTGTTTATCAAAATTAAAATTATGTCAAATGTATCAAAATGTCCTTTAATTTTGTGGCCTTAAAGATATAATGTGGAAAATTAAAATTAAAGTGTTGCCAAAAAAGAGAAAAAGTAATTCTTTTTGAAACAGACTAAAAAAACTCAATTTTTTTAAAAACAGAGGGAGTACTAACTAGTACTATATATAACTAAGAAAATTAGTTTTTGATAGAAATTTTGAGGTTTGATACCAAGGGATTTTATTGAAAACTAATCTGGAAGGTTTGTTAGAAATGAAATCTTTATTCAATGCAACTTGGAAATGATGGCATGAATACAATGCTATATATGCACAACTAGGAAGCTTCTAGAATATAACGGAATCTAACTAACTAACCAATTTGATGTAACTGCCTAACTAACTTGTGACGAAATACAATACAGAATAATTAGCTAACTAACTATCAACTCAATTGACTAATTATCATATTGATCATCCAATTCCAATACTCCCCCTCAAGCTGGATGTACTGAACACATTCAGAAATCCGAGCTTGTCAATTAGAATGTCATGTCGCACTCTTCCTAGAGCCTTTGTCAATAAATCTGCTTGTTGGTCCTTGGTATGAATGTATGAAGTTTTGATCAACCCCTTTTGTATTCTTTCTCTGATGAAGTGACAGTCTATCTCGATGTGTTTAGTACGTTCATGAAATACTGGATTAGCTGCAATTTGTATGGCAGCCTTGCTGTCACAATAAATGTTGGCTGGTCCAATCAATTTCACACCCAATTCGTGAAATAAATTTGTGACCCAAACTACTTCAGCTGTTAAAGCAGCTAAACTTCTATATTCTGCCTCTGCTGAAGATCTTGACACTGTGTTTTGTTTTTTTGATTTCCAAGATATCAAAGAGTCACCAAATTTCAAAAGAAACCCAGTGACAGATCTCCTGGTGTTTGGACAAGCTGCCCAATCTGCATCACAATACCCTGTGAGGGAAAATTTCTTATCTGCACTCATCAATAATCCCTTGCTAGGTTCTCCCTTAATATATCTTATCACCCTCAGTGCTGCGTTCCAGTGTGAAATTTTTGGTTGCTGCATGAATTGACTTAGGGACTGTACTACAAAAGCTATATCCGGCCTTGTATTTGTGAGATATAATAACTTTCCTACAAGCCTTTGGTACTGTGTAACATCAGTAAACAAGGCATCACTATTATTGACTCATTCATCAAACTCCACACTGGTCAACTTCATGTTGCATTCCAGTGGTGTTGGAGCTGTTTTAGCACCAGCCAGACCAACTTCTGAGATTAGCTCCAGGGCATACTTTCTTTGGTTCATCACTATCCCTTTGTTAGACCTAAGAAACTCAATTCCTAGGAAGTATTTGAGTTCCCCCAAATCTTTGATCTTGAAATTACTGTGCAGTACATGTTTTGTTTCTTCTATCAGAGTGGCATCATTTCCTGTGATAAGTAAATCATCTACATATACCAGTATAATCACTATCCCCTTACCTCTCTTTTTGGTAAACAATGAGTAATCCAAATGACTCTGAATATATCTTGAATTGCATAAGGCAGTAGTCAATTTTGCATTCCACTGTCTTGATGCCTGTTTAAGTCCATAAAGGGACTTAACCAACTTACACACCATGTTTTCTCCTTCTAATTTGAATCCCTTAGGCAATTCCATGTACACTTCTTCAAATAGATCCCCTTGTAAAAATGCATTGAATACATCCATTTGGTAAACCATCCAGTGCTCAGCAGTTGCCAATGATATTATTGTCCTAATAGTAACCATTTTCACCACTGGTGAAAAAGTCTCTTGGTAATCTATACCCTCAGTTTGATTGTACCCTTTTGCAACTAATCTTACTTTAAATCTGTCTATTTCCCCATCAGCTTGGTATTTTATTTTGAACACCCACTTACAACCTATGGCAGACTTCCCTGCTGGTAAACTTACTAACTTTCAGGTACCATTGTCCTCCAAAGCTTTGATTTCCAACTTCATTGCCTCTATCCATCTCTTGTCCTTGATAGCCTCTTCATAATTCTTAGGCTCAACTTCTGTAGAGAACTTGGATAAGTAAGATGCATAACTAGGAGAAATATCCTGATATGAGAGATACCTTCCTAGTGAATAAGGATGAGCTATGTCAGATACTTGAGTCACATAATCCTTCATCCAGATTGGTGGATTAGAGGTTCTAATAGACTGTCTAGTTCTTGTATGTGCATCAGCTGGGACATGAGCCAAATCATTCCCATCATCAGGACCATGCTGACCAAACTCAACAATAACTTCAGGTTCTGCTTCATGCAGATCATCACCATGCATGTCAATCTCAGGAAATACCTCCTCATGAAGTAATTCATGTATATGAGGTATCACAATATCTTCGAAATCATCATTATGATACAGATTAATCTTTGGAAATAATGGAAGCTCTTTGGTAACCATAGTTTTAAAAGGAAATATGTGCTCCTTAAAAACCACATCCCTGCTGACTATCATTTTCTTCTGACTCAAACTGTACATGACATACCCTTTTTGAGTGACTGAGTACCCCAAAAACACACAAGCATCTGCTCTATGAGAAAACTTGTCACCTTTAGGCAGTCTAGTAACATAACCCAAACATCCTAGTGTTCTCAAGTGATCAAGTTTGGCACTGACCTTGTGAAACACTTCATATGGTGTCTTTCCTCCCAAAACTGGTGTAGGCAATCTATTAATTAAGTACACAGCTGCAAGAACACATTCTCCCAGAACTTAATAGGAATATGGCCATGAAATTTAAGAGCCCTTACCACCTCGAGTACATGTCTATGTTTACGTTCAGCCACCCCATTTTGTTGTGGAGTATAGGAACAACTGCTTTTATGAACAATACCATGAGAATTGAGTAGTGCATTGCAGTCATTGTTGAAGAATTCAGCTCCATTATCAGATCTCAACCTCTTAAAAATTATATTGAATTGTGTCTTGACAAGGATAATAAAAGATTGCAAAATTGAAAACACATCACTTTTCAATCTTAACAAATATATCCAAGTCATTCTGGATTTGTCATTAACAATAGTCAGGAAAAATCTATATCCATTATGAGTAACAACTTTATATGGTCCCCAAACATCCAAATGAATCAACTCAAAAACACTACTAGTTTTAGACAAACTCAAAGAAAAAGGTAATCTAGTCTGCTTTGCAAGTGGACAAACTGGACAATCTTTACAAATGTCATCTATATCACTAAATGACAGAGGTAATTGACTTAGCACCTTAGAAGAAGGATGGCCCATTCTGTTATGCCACAACATTTTATTCATCAACACATCATTCTGTGTCATCAATAATGTCTCAGCATTCTTGCCTCCTCCATGTGGTGGTTGACTGGGAAAGTAGTATAGCCCATCTAGCTCCCTACCAATTCCCTTCACCTTCCCATTTGAGAGGTCCTGAAAGACAACAAACTCAGGGAAAAAATTAACGAAACAATTCATTTGCCTGGTCAACTGTGCTACTGAGAGCAAATCAAATTTGAAAGCAGGAACCACCAATACATTTTCTAATGTATCACCAGCATGTGTTGTATAATTTCTAGTGTGTGTGACTGAAGTGGTCTCTCTATTAGGCAAGTGCACTCTCCTATCCATACCACTCATGTCATTGGAAATAGAACTTAATCTATTTAGCCTAGAAGTCATGTGACAAGTAGCCCCTGAATCCACTATCCAACTGTCCTTATCTACACCAGTAAATAATGCTTTAGTGATAGGACCAGTTATACCTGCCATGTTTGCACTATTGACTCCTGAAGATGTTGCATCTTCCTTATCTAGCATGTGTAAGAGCCTTTGGTATTGTCGTGGAGTAAAAGTGTGTTGAGCTGCTATAGAT